TGGGGAATGAAAGTCTAAAATCTTTGTAACTTTTATATCTGCTTCTGTTTCACCAAAGAAACAAGGTTTTGCTATACTGTGACTTGTCTTGTTATTGCATGTCTTCCTGTTTAAATCTATGCAATGTGATTTTTTTCATATGAATACAACTAGACTGTCAGGTACTTCACAATTACCATGGGCTTGGTCAAGTGCCCACTGGAGTCAAAGAGTCAGCTGGCTGAACTTTAGTAGGTGCTGGATTTGACTTTATATGAGCAACTTTAGGGGATATTTTAAGATATACATTGTATGTTTTGAAGTTGATTATTGCTTGTTAAAGTCAAGGCTCTGTTCATAAATATACACTAATCTACACATCACTTCCTTGTACCAGAAACACACAGAACAGAAAATATATTTTAACACTTTGCAAACTTTCTCACCATATGTATAAAAAACCCTGCATAGATTTGTTGTTTTCTTGTCTACTTGTTGGATTTAAACAATGTTGTAAGACATTCAGATAACATTGTGATTGTAGTTTTAATTAGGTTAGATGCAGTGCTTATATTGATTTTTTTTTCACCTCCTTCTATTACGCATAATAAAGTAGGACTGACAACATTCCTTATTAAAAGAAAAAAAAAAAAAAACAACAAAAAAAACCCTAAAAAAAAAATCTGTCACCCATGCTTGTTTATTTAGACAGGGAATGGCAAGTTATTCAGCTCTGGAGAATTTTTCTGATGCTGATGTAAACCCCGAAATGTCTCTGTACCAACACCCTGCGGAATGCACACACTGGTGCCACAGGGCTGGCTCTGCTGTGAAGCCAGGGTGCTGCTGGGACAAATGCCATCATTCCTTCCCCTGGAGCATCCCTGAACTCCAGCCTGTGGAACAGCCCTGGGGTTGGAGTGGAGGGATGGATAGGGGACAAAACCAGAGATGTCACGAGGGTCTGGAGTGCCAGGACAAAGGGTGATGGCTTCAAAACTGGCAGAGGGCAGGGCTGGATGGGATCTTGGGCAGCAATTGTTCCCTGGCAGGGTGGGCAGGCCCTGGCACAGGGTGCCCAGAGCAGCTGGGGCTGCCCCTGGATCCCTGGCAGTGCCCAAGGCCAGGCTGGACATTGGGGCTGGCAGCTCCTGGCACACTGGGAGCTGGCCCTGCCGTGCCTGGGGTGGCACTGGAGGGGCTTCGAGGCCCCTTTCAACCCCAGCTGTTCTTTGGTTCTATGATCTGAATACAGATTTTGCATTTTTTGTGCCCATGACAGTCTCTGCAGTGTACCCACTGCTGCTCTGAACATCCTCCTGTCCCTTCAGGCACCGACAGGGTTTGAATTCCCAGAGGGCACCCCGGAGTCTGACCCCACACAGGGCAGAGATCAGCCAGGACACCTCCTCTGGCAGACCTTCCCAAACAGCAAGAGAAGGTGCTGCTTGGGGCACACATTCCTGTTTTCCAGCTACAGCCTAACAGATGCACAGCTCCATGGAGTTAGAGACATCTCCACGATGGCAGAACCTCTTTTGGTTAAATGGGATCTCCTGCCTGAGACATCACAACTTGTCAGAGGCTGGGGATGGAGGAGTCCTGTGGGAGAAAACATGAGCCTCTGGGGCCCAGTGGAAAGGATTTGCTGCCAAGAGGGCTTTGGCATCAGAAATCTTTTGTCCTTCTGGCAGGGCAGTGGCTGGAGGAACGCTGAGGTTCACCATGTGGGTATGGCTAAGGTCAATGTGATACCTTTCCTAAGAGAAAATTCTTCATTCCTGTAGGTGACATCTCTGCCCTGAGCACAAGCAGAGAGCATCCCTGGGCCATGGGAGTTGAAACAGCTGGTGCAAAAAGGCAAATCCATTCTTTTCCAGAGAAAACACACAACCTGTGTCACTGACTTTAAGCAGTGGCGTGTGCAGGACTCCAGGGGCTCTTTGTTCTTCCTGGTGAATGATGAAAAAGATGCAAACAATGCTTGGGGGAAACATGGGCAGAGGCTTGGAGGCCACACAAAGCTGTTAGCCTGGCAGAGACAAGAAGTAAGGACAGAAACATCATGCAGAAATATCATTTCAGCCCTCCAGCTGCAGAATTAAGGAAGCCCAAGGGTTTGTACAGTGCTATTTGATGGCAAATCCTGTCTTCCATAGCAAATAAATATTTCCAAGTGGGGAAGCCATCAGCTGTTCGTGCTGTAGAGGCTCAGTCAATGTTGAAAAAACAGAGAAGCAGAGCCCTGAGCCCTGCAAGTGAGGAATTTATTGCTGGGGCAGGAATGGATTCATGACAATACCAAAACTCCTCCAGATTTCCGGCTGCCAAAGGCTGGGAGAAATGAAATGGAGCTGAAAATGGCCCACCAAGCTACCTTCTGTGGTGTCTGGAGGAGAGAGGAAAAGACAAACACTGTTGGTGGTCCTGCAGGGATGCAGCAGTGCAGGGAGCAAGGCGCTGGGATTAAGCTCTGGAAGTTACATCATGCAGTGGTGGCAGTAAAAGTCGTTTTTGAGACAGGAGGGCAGTCACTTCAAGGAAGGGAATAAATGGAGTGGTTGTCTGTGGTAGCAGGAGAATGGCAGGAATTTGGGTCGTGTGATTCTTACGGTCTTGGAGGTGATAATTGCACGTAATGTTCCTGCTTGGTAGGGAAAAAGAGCAAAGCAGAGGTTTGGCACAGGTCACACAAAGAGATCTGCAGCAGACCTGGGTGTTCACTAAAGGCCCTGTTCTTTCACAGGTTTGCAGAAAAAAAACAGGGCAAAAGAAAAGAGGAAAAAGAAAAAAAACTGGCTTTTCTAAGCAGTTGATGGGAGATGTAATTGCAAAGGGCAGCAGGATTCCAGTTTTCTCTTACCAGAGCTAGAGCAAACATTTGGCTCAGCCAAGTACCATGTCTTTGTCAAAATAAATACTCTTAATAAGCTTGGGAAGGGTGGAAGAAGCACCAGATATTGCTGATGGTGCTGTTTGCTTGCTGAATGAGGGATCTCTTTGGTTCCCCTGA